CTGCTGAGCGGATCACCTGCGGTACGCTCCTGCCTAACCCCAAACTACTCGGACTAGTTACTGACACGAGTTGATCCCTGCACTGCAGTTAATATTTAGATGTGTGGCCAGCCAAGAGATGCATTAAAGACGCGCTGGCGGAGGCCTCTGAGATCCCCTCTGCCTGCCAAGCGCTGCTCGCGGGCTGGCTGCCAGCACTGCTGAGGACTGCCTGGCTGGGCTTTTGTTCCTCGTATAAAGGGCACTCTCATTCACTTGCAGACTGTGTAAGCTGGTCATAATGTCAAGAAATGCGTCTTAGTTCCTCTTTGATAGCCGTCTGCAAATTGGCATTCCGCATTCAGAGTTACTCTCATCTGCAGCACCCTGTGGACTTCAGCACTCACAGCACATCCTCCGTGGGAAGCCCCCAGGGAGCTCTGGAGACAGGAACCCTGCGCTGGGTCCCCCTCGGTGGCAAGCCTCGTTTTTTTCAGTTACAGACAGCGATTTTGTATTTCTCCCCACAATTCCCTTGCCTCTTTTATGCAGAGGGTGAGTTCTTTGGCAGGAGTTTCCCTCTGCTGTGTGGCTGAACCTGCACATATGACACCCGAATTCCAGTAACACTCACGGGTCTCTGCAGGCAGTGACTGATGGTCCAGACAGGACAACCCACCAAATTCATGAGGGCATCATTCTACCTCCCACCTCCTGTGGGCTCTGCCTTCTGACTTCAAACACAGACGTGTATTGACGCAGAAAAGACAAACAAAACAAAGCTAAACAAAACGTTTAAACTGGTTTCTCTCTTTTAAGGATCTTTATGCATTAGACCTAGAACCATATCGCTACTCTGGGGTGAACCTGACCGGCTTCCGGATCCTCAACGTGGAGAACCCGCACGTCTCCTCCATCATCGAGAAGTGGTCCATGGAGCGGCTGCAGGCGGCGCCCAAGGCGGAGCTGGGCCTGCTGGACGGCGTGATGATGGTATGAGGAGTTTAAACAAAGCACGGGTGAAGTCTGGGAACCAGACCAGAGCGGTGGGGAAGGCAAGAGCATTCGTTAAGGCCTTAATGGTATTTTTGTTCATTCTTGTACTAGCAACAACTATCCCAGGCATCTTCCCCAAGATAGTTACCTGCATTCTTTAATAACTGTCCCTCAAACACAGTGGGTTTGGCTGCTGAAATCCCCACAGCCCACTGCTGTGTTCACACTCTCCTTTCGCAGGCTCAGCTGCCAACAGATTTGCCAATTTTGAGAGACTGTGCTCCCTTCTGGCAGGTAAAAAGCTCCATCAGGACCAGCAAAATCCAAAGCTTTCGGTTGCAGGGCAAACGCTCTGAGCACGTCCGCAGGGGGGGATCAGAGAAGGAGCTGCAGTCACCTGGGGGCTGTGCCCTCGTTCAGGCAGAGCAGGATCTCCCCGAGTGCTCGCTAACCTCCCAAGAGACAGGCAGTGTGCGCCCCAAGCCCCCGAGCACCCAGGAAAGGGCATCCCCTCTTCAGCTGCTCTCCACAAGTCCTGTTCTGGCTCAGGGCTGGACAATCACATTGCAAGTCCCTCCAGCCAGTCCAGGGAGCAGCACTGGGGACCAGAAATATTCCTGTCCCCCCTGATGAGCCAGGTACCCAGGGCCTCTCCTAGGGGCATTGCAGGGCTCCAGTTGCCATCAGCTCCCCACACCCAGCTCCCCGGGGCTGGGAGCCAGCACACAGCTGGACTGTGCAAGGCAGTTCACTGAGATTGATGCAGGGAGAATGAGCCAAAGCTATACCCAGAGATGGGCTTTGCTGCAGGTTTGATGACTCCTTTTAGGGTCTGATGGCAGCTCTGCTCCGCTGAGTTACTGCTGCGAAGGTACAGCACCTGCTCACCCATCTGTCTTCCCTGCAAGGCTGTCTCCGACCCCCGTAATTGCTGACTGGCTCCCTCCTTCCCTCTCCCTTTAGATCTGCCAGAACCAACACCACGAGCCACAAAGCCTCCAAGACCTTCACCTTGAAATGGCTCCTCAGATCCCTCCTGGTTTGTTTTTTTCCCTCAGAGGAGAACCCCACTGTTCTCCTTTAGCCTTCTGCTTTCCTGCAGCGCTGCCCTCAGCTGCACTGTGGTTCTGCCAGCAGTGGTGCTGGGATCCCCCCCGGCCCCTCTCCCCTTTTCTGTCTGCTGCCTCAGAGGGGATCCTGCCTTTTATCTGTGCTTATCTGGTGCCTGGCCCAGCGGGGCCCTGATCTCAGCTGGGCAGCACAGTATGTAATTCACCATAAAATTGCTCAGACGTGTTCTTGTACAGCCCTCTCCCCAAACACACAAAACCTGTCCCTGCTGCTCTAAGTACAAGCCCACGGGATGCAGGTCGGGTGCCTGCTCTTCATGCTTGGGTGCTGCAGGAAGGGAAGGTCATGGGGACAGCTGCCAGCATTGGAGGATTTTCTCCATGGCCATGTCCTCTTAGATATTTGCCCAGTTATTTGCTGTATTATTTAGTTTTATTGTGTTTTATTACTCTGCTGCTACACTCACATCTGTTTTGTAGCTTTCTGAAGCCAGCAAATAATGTATTTTCAGTAGGAGGACTTACCATATTGGAGTGCAAAATAAATCCAATTTTCTTGATCAGTGTTTGGAGGTGAGATAGGGCATCTCAAATTGAATCTAAACCCATCACATTATATGGAAGAAAAAAGTTCTCTCTAGATGAAAACACTGAAATGTGGGAAGATGTTACAAGTCTGTGAGGTCCCGATTTTGGTGACAGTTTGCGTCATTTTGAAAATTCCATGTCCACAGACAAACCATTTAACTTCTTTGTTTCCCCATATATAAATAGGGTCGATTATATGTTCTCACAGAGGGATTTTTTTACACTCAGACAAAACAGACTAAATAAGAAAATTCTGTTAATGTCTTCTACATTCAGAATTAGTTTGCTTCCTTCTTTGACAATAGAGTAGTAAATGCACTAGAAATAACCAGAATAGATGCACACAGACAAATGACATTTTCACAAACTCTCATCTTAAGACAGAACTATGATTGTGCAGCCTAAGGAAGCACGAAATAGAAGAACACACTTGTGAGGCTTTGTCTTATGCAGAGCTACATGTTGTGAGGACGTGCTCTGCATGAGAGGCCAGTGCAGGGGTTCAGACAAGTCTTGTGTTAAATCGTACGAGTTTATGGCAATCTCTTGAGAGCCCAGTGAGTCTCTTCAGAGCCCGCAGAATTTCTTGAGAGCCCAACCCTGCCCTTGGAACTCTCTTTGCAGGGCTGGACACCTGGGAGGTTGGATAGTCAGGAGTGGACCAGGACAGAGAAACCCTCAGGTCTGCTGGGTGTTGGGCAAGGAATTACTCAGAGGGTGTCCTTGGAGCTTTTCCTGTGACACGCCCCTGCAACAGGCTGCCCCACTGCTTTGCTGTCCAAATGCTTCCTCGCTCTGGAACTGCCACCGACACAAATGCTGTTCCCCTTCCCCAGACAGACGCTGCCCTGCTGTACGACGCCGTGCACGTGGTCTCCGTCTGCTACCAGCGCGCCCCTCAGATGACCGTGAACTCCCTGCAGTGCCACCGGCACAAAGCCTGGAGGTTCGGTGGCCGCTTCATGAATTTTATCAAAGAGGTAAAAACCCATCCTCGTTTGCAACCATAATTGCTTCCCACTAATGCAAAACTTCCCCAGCAGGAGCACAGCACACGTGGCAGAGGCTCAGCAGGTACAAGGTATAAAAGATCCCCTGTCTGGGCAGGTACAACTCAATGGAAGCACAGATACACACCAGGCTGCTGAGTGCACCCAGAAAGCAAAACTCTCTTTGCCTTCTAAATAACATCCATGTAGCCACGCCAAAACATCCAAACCAAGCTGCAGTCCCCCATGCTGTCGCTGAGGCTCACCCCGGCCCCTCCTTGCATCAGGAGCAGCTGGACCCCTCTCTCTCTGAGGCCATTTCTTAGCAGAGCAATAACCATTTGCCTTTTAGAGGAACATTTGCTTGGGGTCCACAAAGGGCATTCAGTGCTTCTAAATCCCAGTGGTGAAGCTGGCAGCGCTCTGCATCTCTGCCCGTGTGCTGATGAACAGTTTTGGCAGAGAGGTGTAGGGAGCCTGGGGAGCGAGAAAGCAGCTTCGTTTCCCCTCTGTTTTCAGTCATTATGATTTCTCTTTGCTCAGCCCATGTAATTGTTTGCATCTGGCTAAAGCGTGCAAGCAGGCTCAAAGCACAGGGGTCTGTGAGCAGGGAGCTCACCAATGAAGCGTGGCACAACGAAGGTGTAGTGAGCGGTTTTCAGCCCTCCTAGAAGACCTTCAAGCACCCACCCCTGCACTCACCCCCCAGGTTTTGTTCTGTCTCCAAAAAGTAGCCCTCATGTAAGAAAAAAATGAAGGCAGAGCTGCAAGGAGACACTACAAACTCTACCAGATATTTCTTCATGATAAAAACCCTTTATTTACCCCAAGGCCTTTTTAACTGTCTATGCCTGTGGCTCTTCAAATGGGAAATGATGGAACTGGCTGCAGTACTGGATACATGACTGGGCTACATTTAAATGGCTGGGTATAAAATCCCCTGGAGTTTTTAACAGAAAAGAGTAGAAGTACGTTGCTAATTGTTACTGTGATTTGTGCTGCAGCATCACCTGCAGACCCCAGCGGAGCCTGAGCACTGGCACACTGTGCAGCCAGAGCCCAGCCCAGAGCTGCCCGAGCTGCTCGGAGCCTCTGCACCAGCAGAGGAGAGAGGAACGATTCCCATCGCAGGGACAGAATGAACTTCTTTCTTAACAGGCACTGAAGATGGTCCCTCTCCTCTCTCTCCTTTTTCATGTTTTGTTCCCTTCTGCAGAAAGCTGCTCCAGCTGGCTGCCAAAAGAGAGTGTAAATAATTTGTTTGGTTGGCTCCTTTTGCAAATTACCCTGAGCCTCACACTCCAGTGCCTGCCTGTTGTTTCCCTTCCTGGCACCGCGTCAGCTTGTTGCAGGGATAAGCTTCCTCCCCGTTGCAATCGGAACACAGTAATTGCTCTCTCTAAACTCCTGTCAAGGCAAAGGCGGCACAGAGGGACGCCCGGAGCCTCCGCCCCGGCCTCCCGCAGGCCCGGCA